GTACTAAAAAAGAAATTCAATGATCACTTCTGGTGACTGCTAGGGAACCAAATGTTATGGAAACTGGTTAATAAAGGGAAATACTCTAGAATTTATCCTGTCTTTCCTATATAAGCTGTACTTTTTTTTTTTTTTTTTTTTTTTTGCGGTATGCAGGCCTCTCACTGTTGTGGCCTCTCCCGTTGAGGAGCACAGGCTCCGGACGCGCAGGCTCAGCGGCCATGGCTCACGGGCCCAGCCACTCTGCAGCATGTAGGATCCTCCCGGACCGGGGCACGAACCCATGTCCCCTGCATTGGCTGGTGGACTCTCAACCACTGCGCCACCAGGGAAGCCCCAAAGCTGTACCTTTTTAAACGCATCATCTCTGACTTTTAATGGATTGTTTCATTCAATTCACATTTACTATACTGAATAATACATTTATTTTAAATAATTTTCCTTTCCCCCAAAGTTGGTTGTCTTGATCAGATTTTATTTATATTATTTCCCCCTTTTAAATCAGAGATTCTACTGTTTATAATTTTTATTAATGAAAACTATCTCTTTCCTTGCTCTTTTAATCAAATATGACTTTATTCTTATTTGTAAAATATCAAGTCTTTCTACCACTGAGATGCCTTGTTTTCCTACTAAATGCTCTGTTATTCCCTACTCTCCTTTCCCCCAGGTGGATAACAGCTTCAAAATACTTTTATAATACATGCTAAATACTTCATATTCTCTTACCTTTTCCTTCATGTTTTCTATCTCTTAATCTTTCAATTATATGCTTTGAGATTATTTCCTGCATTCATCTTCTATCTGTAATTCAAGCCTCAACTGTGACCATTCTCTTCTTTAAACTCTATAGTTTGAAAACACATTTTTAAGCCCCAGGAAGATCTTTTCGAATTGCATCTCCTTAAGCACTTTTTACCATTTTAAAATTTCAAGTGTTCACTGATCTCCTGTGGTAGTTCTTTTTCACGGAGCATATGTTCTGATTGTTCAGCCTGTTCCTCGTCTCTCTGTTGAGATGGCATTCTTTTTTCTCTGTCGGCTCACTGGTACCTAGGTGTGGTTGCTGAGATACTCTTTAATGGTTAGATTTCTTCAGGTGGTGAAAGGAAAAGGAGATTCTCACTCTGTGTCCTGTGGTTTAAGGATAGGCTATCAAACTCCTTAAGAGGGACTGGACTAGAGGAAACCTCTCCACTCTCACTCTTAATTCTTCATTCTCCTGGCCTGGAGGGTAGGAAAGACACTGAGGCCTCCAATCAGATCTCCCTTAGCCTGATCTTTTGGGGGATGGGGGGAATGCAGGGAGGAGTAGACAGAGCACTTTTATAGCTGTCCATACATGTCATACATGCTCCAAACCAAGCTCTTTATAAATCTTTAGCTCTTTCATCTTTGCCCTGGGACTTGATGCTGTGCTGCAGTAGTGGTGACAACCTGGGGCTGCCCAATTAAAGCCACAGTGTTCAGGAAATGGGCAGGTAACACAGTTGCGCAAATAAGCAGACCTTCCCAGCAAACCCACAGTGGCCATGCAGTATAAGAAATAAACCAAGTTACTCATATTTTAGGTGTTATTACCACAGCATAACTTAGCTGTAATAAAGAGTCTGACTCCATTTTTGATGCCTGCCTGCTGACAGCTTTCAAATCCCACTGTTCTCCCTTCCTCTTCTGCCCACATGTGGGCAAACTGATAAGAAAGTCCAGGTGCTCCTTCCTTTGCACTGGCAGGAAGTTTAAATTACACAAGACCTGCCTAGCCTGCATGTGGAAACCCTCAACCCAGCCCTACCCCCTAACCACATAAAACCCCAAGATAGTCGCTGTTCCTTGTTTTCCCCCCAAAAGCTTATTATGTGAACGATAAACCTTTTCAGATCAGATCCTCTTGGTGTACATGTGGTATCTTCAGTCTCTACATCCAAATCAATTTTGGGCAGGGGGTGCTGTCCCACTACTTCAGGGTGACTACAAATATTAGCTTATGTGACTGATACACAAATTAGTACTTGAAGGTTTGTAATGAGAAACTGATAACAATCACAATAAAGAAAAGACATTGACTTAGGGGTTGGGCAGTAGGCCACATGGAAATTATATCGGAGGCTAGAAAGTTAGTGATCCATGCTTGTAGTGGCAAAACATTTGGCAAAACTATCATGTGTGATAGTTTGAAAAGCAGATAAATTTACCCATGAAAACTCTTTTCTCTCTGACATAAAAACTGATGATTTTCCAGATACTGGCAGCTTTGTCACCATGGATTCCAAACTGACAGCACGTGGGACATGATAAACATACTGTGTGAATTAGAAATACTCTGATATTGTTACTGCAGCATAAACTAGCCCATCCTGACTGATAACAAAAGGGGTATTCTTTACAACTTCCTCCTTCCCTCTATCCAAGTGTAGTATAACAGCACACAGAGGATTGTGTACAAAACTCTGTATTTGCTCCTAGGAAGAAATGAGTTGAGCTATTTAGGAGATCTCTGAATGTTGGAAGGTCCAGGGCTGCTTGAAAGTTGAAAACAAGCCTACTTTCATAGAAGGGCTGAAAACAAGACTAGCATTGTTTTAGACAAGAGAGTACAGGGACAGGAAATGTCTATTTTACTGGTCTCTAACTCTTGTTATACTGAAGCTTTTTTCTCATTGCATTGAAAAAAAATTAAAACAAGAGTTTAGGCCAGCTAATTCTGGCAGGTTTCAAAACAGTGATACACTGTTGTGTGAAATGAACAGGCTATACAGACTACATATGTGATCCTATTTTTGATTTTTTTAAAGACATATTTGTTTCAGTACTCATTTGTACAAAAAAGTCTAGAACTACACATACTCTAAAATGTTAACACTAATGTTAATTAAAAAAAGGAGGCGAGGGCTTCCCTGGTGGCGCAGTGGTTGCGAGTCCGCCTGCCGATCCAGGGGACACGGCCACGGGTTCGTGCCCCGGTCCGGGAAGATCCCACATGCTGCTGAGCGGCTAGGCCCGTGAGCCACGGCCGTTGAGCCTGCATGTTCGGAGCCTGTGCTCCGCAACAGGAGAGGCCACAGCAGTGAGAGGCCCACATACCGCAAAAAAAAAAAAAAAAAGGAGGCAATTAGACTGAGGCGGCTCTAATACATAAGGAAAGCACAACCTCAGCCTAAAATGCCTCAAGGTTAAGAAATCAACACCTAAGAGCAACCAATCACAAACAGCCATCTTGGCTTTCCCAAATAATACAGGTGCTTAAGCAATAGCCAATCAGATAATTCCCTTGCTTTGCTTCTGCCTCTTCTCTATAAACGTCTTTCCCCTAGCTCCTGTCAGCGGAAGATTCCTAACCACTTCCGGTTTGGTGCTGACCAATTTGAATCAATTTTTACTCAAATAAACTCTTAAAATTTTTAGTGTGCCTCAGTTTATCTTTTAATACTAAGCAATCTCTGAAATTGAGATAGCAGCTATTTATTCTCCTCTTATTTATATTTTCTGATTTTTCTAAAATGAACATATATTTACATAAAATAGAAGTTTTAAAAACACTGTGTATCATGTATGGAAGTTGTATACATGTAGAGCTTAATTTTCCTATTAAGGAAAACTTTTATTCTCTGCTACAAATGTGACAACTTTACTCTTGCTACAATATTTTACAATAGAATCTTCAATTTTCTCAAAAAATTGCTAGATGCAACATATAAGCTAGTGATCTTTGAGCAGTCATTTTAAAAATAGAATTTTAAACATTTTAACCATGTACCAAAACATATTTTAGAATATTGTGAACCTTAATACCTAAAAGTAACAGGGGTCTTTGTAAGTGCAAATAGCATAAGACAGATAATAGAGAAAAGCAGTAGAAAACTAAAATAATTCTCTTAAAAATATCAAGTTTAAGTTCTATATCCAAAATGAGTCAATATATGAAATTAAATCATTTAGTAAATGAGAAATATGATCTAAAGGACCAGCTAATAGTAAATGTATTCTTTTGATGTTCACAAATAATATAATGCATTCCTTGTGCTGTATCTTGATTGTGGTACTGGTTACATAACTAAATGCACGTGCCAAAACTTAGGCAAATGTATGCTTAAAGCTACTGAATTTTCATGTGTGTAAATTACACTTCAATAAAGCTGATTTTTAAAAATCACAATTTTTTGCCAAAATTTTCAGATTATTTCCAGACAATTTAATTCAATGGCTTAACCATTCAAAACAGCCTGTTACATTATATGAACTTATAGAGAAAAAAAAATCTATATATAGTAAAAGTGGAATCTCTTCCTCATAAATTTCCTATCCCCAATACCCAGTAATACTGGCTAGAGAATTTCAGTCATTCTTCCTTTCTCTCACCTCCTTTCAATAAGCCATCAAGTCCTATCAATTATATACTTTCTTTCATCCCTACTCTACAGCCTTAGTTCATTTCTTTCTGGACTACTGCAACAGACTTCTAATTGATTTCCTTGACTTTAATCTCCCACCTACCAATCCAACATCCTTAACACAGAAAAAAACAATTATCTTGCCCCCGCAAAAAATGAACAAACAAAGCAACGATAATGTTAATAGAAACTTGTTTTAAAAAACTAAATTGCTTCAGAACGAAGCCCAAAATCCATGTCACTAAAGGTACTTTAAGGCCTCATGATCAATATAAAATCCTCCCCTCACAAAAAGCATGTATTTTATATCTCTGTCTGTAGAGTCATCCTCTCCTTTTCTGTCTGTGAAATATCTACTAATCCCTAAAAAAATCCAGTTTAAATATAATTTCCTCCATTCCCACTGTCCTCCTCTAGATGTGAATTCCTCTAAGGCCATGGTCTGAACCTTCTTCACTAAGCACAGTGCCTGGCTCACAGTAAATATACTTATGAATTGAATAAAGGAATAAAAACAGTATTATTCACTAAATCTATTTTTACTTTGACAAATTAACATTTTTTTCTAAGATAAAAAACTTAGAAAATTTGATAATGTAGAAACCGTACCTTGTCTACATGGAAAATTAAATCCAGTTCACAGACGTTTTCAAAACACTTGTCTAATGTTTCCACAAATACCTAAAGAAAAGAAAAAAGGTTAAAAGCTTTTGAGAACTGAATAAGTTCATTCAAATCTATTACCTATAAGGCAGACAATTCTTAATTGTGAATTAAAACTTCTAACTCTATTATCACATTTCTCTTTTTTAAATTAAAAACTGTATTAAGTGCAAAAGGAATAATTATAGCCTGTACATCTAAACTATTTTTCAATACATTAATAAATGAAATACAATAAACAAAATAAACTTCACTGAAAATTACTAAGACCTAAAAATTGTTAGCACCATTACTTACAAAAATACTGAAAAATACTCAAATCAGGCTCCCTATCTTCACATGAGGAAAAAAGAAAGCTTGTCATAAGTATCTATCAAGCTAGATGGGCACAGTCCGAGTCTCAACCACATCTAATATAGCCAATAATTTTTAATTAGCAAATCAGTATAAAAGATCACTAAAAATTAAACTTATGGAAAGAGCACAGACTCTGGAATCAGACTTACCTGGACTCAAACTCTGGTTCAAATACCTTGTACGACCTTGTGTGGGAAAGGGTTAACTCAGTAAGCCTGGGTTGTTCAACCCCTATACATTCCCCAAAATGGCCTGTTTTCAGATGAGCCTTTGGCTAGTTCCTGGGAACTGAGCTCTGAGCCCTTGGAAAGTTCTGTCTGATAAGAGTATTTCTGCATGCTTGAGGCCCTGGGCCACACTGTACCAGTGTGAGCAGACAGTTTATGATAACAGTGTGATTTTCAATGAACGTATTTTTTCTCTGAGATTCTGGAGCTTAAGTAACCAAGGTCAGTCATGGAGGTGTCACAGGCCTATGTGACTGACCCCCAATAAAAATCCTGGAAACCCAGGCTAGGGTGAGTTGCCTAGTTTGGAACACTTTGCACATGTCATCACATATCACTTCTGGGGGAATTAAGCACATCTTGTGTGACTCCAGTAGAAAGGGACAACACCTGGAAGCTTGCACCTGGTTTCCTCCATACTTCCCTTCATGTGCCTTTGATGGTTTTACTCTGTATACTTTCACTGTAATAAACCCTAATCATAAACATAGCAACTTCTGAGTCCTGTGATTCCTAGCAAATCACTGAGATGGTCTTGGGGACCTCTGATACAAACTTTCAAAAATTAATCTCTTAGGGCTTCCCTGGTGGCGCAGTGGTTGAGAGTCCGCCTGCCAATGCAGGGAACACGGGTTCGTAACCCGGTCCGGGAGGATCCCACATGCCGCGGAGCGGCTGGGCCCGTGGGCCATGGCCTCTGAGCCTGCGCGTCCGGAGCCTGTGCTCCGCAATGGGAGAGACCACAACAGTGAGAGGCCCGCATAGCGCAAAAAATAAAATAAAATAAAAAAATTAAAAAAAAATAAAATTAATCTCTTAAGTTCCACTTTGCATAGTTGGCACTATTGTATCACTATTTCTGTATCCACTACCCTTCTCAGTGAATTTTCACAGATAGAATGACCATAAGTTTATCATTCGAACTGGGGGATATTAAGAGTAAAAGAGAGCATCTATTAATTATTATATTATAATAACAGTATGCAATGTTATTGTACTATAATAATAACCTGGAACAACAGACGTAAACCAGGACTGTTCCAAGCAAACTGAAATGTATGGTCACTGTATTCATAGGTGATCCTACCAGACAGAGTAAAATCTAAGCAACAGGCTTCTTGCTATAACTACTCCAATCTGAGACCAATTTACACAGATCCACAATCCAAGGCTCCTTCCTGGCATCAATGTAGATGAATAAGACAGGTGAAACAATGTATTTAACTATATGACCATGATCAACATCGTCTTAGACCAAGGGTTGGCAAACTTTCTCTGCAAAAGGCTGGAGAGTAAAGATTTTAATTTTAGGCTTTGTGGGCCATACAGTATAGCACAAAAGCAGTCACAGACAATACATAAACAAATGAGCATGGCTCTATTCCAATAAAACTTTATTTACAAAAATAGGTAGCAGGCTGAATTTGACCTGCAGGATGTAATTTGTTGATCCTTGACTTAGACTAGGAGAAATAAAAGATCAGTAGTAACCAAGAATATACAGTTTTATACATAGTTTCATTTATGACAAGGCAAGTTATTAAGATGACCAAGTGTGGGGCATACAAAGGTCATCCTCAAGTGAGTGCCTAGTTTGTTTCAATTATGTGGTAAGTAGAAAATATATATTGTTGAGTACCTATCCAAACTCCCAACTTCATCTATTTCTCCTCAAGGTCTTGGTGACATGGTCCATGAAATGACTTTATTCATTCTATTTCTAATTCTGACTCACTTTTCTTCTTCTTATAACACATTCTTTTTTGAGGACAGAATGGGATAATGCTGCTTGAACAAAGAATAAGCATTTAACAAATACTGGCTTCTTGAGGAGTCCAAAAGAGAAAATTTTCCCATTGAGAAAGATGAATTTATTTTTGACACAGTATCTCTAACATGGAAGTGGTCTGAATACATTTATAAACTCATAAATAAGTTACAGGAAACAAAACCATTTAAGTTCTGTCCTTCAGTAAATTTTTACTGAAGTATAACATATGTATAGAAAAGTACACAACACTGTTCGTAGGAATGTAAATTGGCGCAGCCACTGTGTAAAACAGTACGGAGGTTTCTCAAAAAACTAAAAACAGAACTACCATATCATCCAGCAATTCCACTCCTGGGTATACAGCTGAAGAAAAAAAAAAACACTAACTTGAAAAGATGCATGTACCCCAATTTTCATAGCAGCATTATTTACAGCTGCCAAGATACGGAAGCAACCTCAGTGTCCATCAACAGATGAATGGATAAAGGCGTGGTACACACACACACAGAGGAATACTACTCAACCATGAAAAAGAATGAAATTTTGCCAGTTCCAACAACATGGAGGGTATTATGCATAGAGAAATAAGTCAGAGAGAAAGACAAATACTGTCTGTTATCACCTTCATGTGGAATCTAAAAAATAAAACAAACGAATGACTATAACAAAACAGAAACAGACTCACAGATACAGATAACAAACTAGTGGTTACCAGTGGGAAGAGAGAAGGGGGAGGGGAAAGATAGGAGTAGGGGATTAAGAGGTACAAACAACTATGTATAAAATTAATAAGCTACAAGGATATATTATACAGCACAGGGAATATAGCCAATATTTTATAATAGCCAATATTTTATAATAACTTTAAATGGAGTATAGTCTATAAAAATTGTGAATCACTATGTTGTACACCTGAAACCAATGTAATATTGTAAGCCAAGTGTACCTCAATAATAAAAAAAAGTACACAAATCATAACAATGTACAACCTGATGAATTTTCACAAAGTAAGTATACCTGTGTAACCAGCACTTAATATTCAGGTGTTAGACTATTACCAGCACTGTAGAAGCCCGCTCATACTCCATTAGGCAACTATCAACATCAAGGGTAACTACCCTGCTTTCTAACATTAAAGATATATTTTGTCTATTTCTGAACTACTATTGACCCTTGAACAATCTGGGCTTGAGCTGTGTGGGTCCAATGCTGCGCGCATGCTTAGAAACAAGTTTTTTTTCAATAAATATAGTACTATACTACCCATGGTTGGCTGAATCCAGGGATGCGGAACCCACAGATACAGAAGGCCAACTGTAAGGGACTTGAGCATCCACAGATTCTGGTCATAGCAGGTCCTGTAACCAATTCCCAGCAGATACCAACTACCATACCAAGGGACAACCATGTATTTAAATGGAATCATACGGTATGGAACCATATGAGTGGCTTCTTCTATTCATTGATTTGTTTGTGAGATTTATTTATTTTGTTACATAATATTAGTATAACAGTTCATTCATTCTTGTTGTTATACAGTGTGCTATTGCAGAAATATACCACAATGTATTTATCTATTCCCCGGCTGACAGAAATTCGGGTCCGGCATGGGGCCATTACAATTAGTACTGATACTAATTCTTATATAAGTCTTTTAGTGAACATACATACACATATCTACTGAATGTATACCTAGAGTAGAATCACTGGGCCATGGAGCAGATAGGTTTTCAAAGAGATTTTCAATAGATTTTCAAAGCAATTATAAAAATTTACAATCCAGGGACTTCCTTGGCAGTCCAGCGGTTAAGACTCCACGCTTCCAATGCAAGGGGTGCGGGTTTGATCCCTCTCAGGGAACTAAGATCCCACAAGCCGTGTGGCACAGCCATTAAAAAAAAAAAAAATTTACAATCCAAATAATAGTATATGGGAGCTCCCATAGTGCCACATCCTTGTCAGCCCTGTATGTTGTCAATCTTTTAATTTTAGTCATTCTTATGGGTGTGTGGTGGTCTGTCATTGTGATATTCATTTGTATTTCCCTGAAGCCTAAAGAGATGGACCACCATTTCATATTTACCATTTTGATATCCTTTTTCATGATGTCTATTCAAGACTTCTGCTCATTTTTCTGTTCAAGACTTCTGCTCATTACCTGTCTTTTTCTTATTGACGTATAGAAATTCTTTACATAGCTAGATACAGTCCTGTCATACACACATATTACAGATGCCTTTTCCTACTCTGACTTGCCTTTTCATTCTCCTAATAATGTTCTCGGAAGAACAGAAGCTTTAAATTTCAATATAGTCCAACTTATCAGCTTTTTTCCTTTATGGTTAATCTTTTTTTTGGTCCAATTTAAGAAATTTTTGCCTATAGCAAGGTCAGGAAGATATTCTCCCAGAAGAAAACAAAAGCTTCATGGTTTCATTTCTCATGTTTGGACCAAATCTATCTGGAATTAATTTTCGTATGTGGTGTGAGGTGGTCTTTCTTAATTTAAAATTATTATTAAACTTACTATTCAGAATAAAGTTTCCAGTATGGCTTTATTTTTTCATGTTTACTTTTTCCAGATCCACTGGTTTGATTACCCATATACTGTAGCCATTCTTTCTTAACCATCAGAAGATGACTATCTTGGTGAAAATGCTGTC